ATAATAGCTTTTCATATTTGTACATGTTCAACTCTGAGTGGACATACTTAGAGTTGATTGAACTAATTAATGGCAGCGGTCGAGAAACTGAAAACTCAGAGTTCCACACCTAGATCAATTTAGAGTTTTAGATTTGATTCTGAGTTTGTAAAACCTGCTTCGTGAAACGGACCCCAGGTGGGTCACTGATTTGCCTCTTACTTAGAATGTGCCTAGGAGGACAGGCCTCCAGAAGAATAAAACAGCAGCACTCTAACTAAGGATTTCTTTATTGTGAGCTGACAGACTTAAAGATTTGGATCAATGTTGAAACATTTTAGGAAAAATTTGTAAAAAGTCTGGTTGCCTCCATTTTAAGCTAGTTTTGTTTTTGTTGTGGTCTTGGCCAACTTTTAAACCTCTCTACTATTTAAGTATAATTCAAAAACCACAAGACTAGAAAACTAGACATCACCTAATCCCTGTAGTATACACATTTCTGAGAGGTTTTCCAACAGGATAATGGATCAATACACATAGCTCCTTTCATCTCATGCTGGATAGTGGAATATGAGAATGAGTTTAATGTACTCCAAAAAAAAAATGCACAGTGAACATGCAGCCCACAAATCTGCAGTAACTATGTGATGCTATCCTGTTAATGTAAACCATAATCAATATGAAACCTTGTGTAAGCATTTACATAAATACCTTAGGCAGTTTGAGCTACAAAAATAGATCCAGTCTGATACTAGTAAGGTATACCTAATACATCATTTCTACTACTAGCAGTAAAATTGATTTATTATTGCCAGTGTAAAATCTAAATAGACCTTGGTGTAGTCTGCACAAATAGAGGTAATACATTTTTTTTGTTGAGACTTTATTTTACATAATTTAACTCACTAAAAATTTCCTTAGAAGTCTTTGAAGCATTTTTTAAAAACATTCTTGACAAATTAGGTAGACATAGAGCACCGGTGCTCAATTTGCCCAGGCAGCTGCAGCTTCATTATCTCAGCTAAATACACTCCACTCTCAGACTTACAAAGATATTACAGAGCTCCTGCTGCTGAAGCCGGGAGATGAGTAACCAACCTTTCTGTAGGGATGAGGTTAAAAGTTTGATTTTATAAAATACTATCTATCCACTTTTATGCTGATTATTATGCTCAAAATGCTGCACTGGAGATGCAATACTAAGTAGCTTGATCTTTTCCATGTAAATGTGAACAGCATCATTAAAACTCTGTGAAACTTTACATTTAAAACTGCAGTCTGTAACATTGAGAAGAGAGCAGACTTCGACAGAAAATTTGAAGAAACACAGGTTTCACGCCACTCCCCCACCCTCTCTGCTTCACTCATGCCCCACCTCCAAGCTCCACCCCTCTCACAGCATCTGCGCGGCTACCGCATGCGACCAGAAGGGGGGGGGGGCGGGATTCAGCGTGTGTGAGCTGTGATTGACACTCCATCAGACGCTCCTCTGGCTGTGATTGGTTGTTTTGACTCGTCCCGAATTATTCTTTCCAGATTGAAATACAGGCAGTAGGCGGTACCAATTGAAGCAGTTTTTTTTCACAGGTTACATATCACATGTACTGCTGTCTGGGCATAGGGACAGTTTTAGCCAATATGACAAAAAAGTGATTTTTAAAAACTTACAGACTTCAGCTTTAACACAGGGTAGGGGAAAAAATATCTAACTTGTGATAATTTTTGTGCATAAAAACATTCTCTTCTCTTTCATTTAATTTGATATACAATTCACACCCGATGTTGATAACAGCCCCAGTGGTCCAGAGTAAAAAATAATGAATGCAAATAAGCCTATAAATTATGTTATGCGTAAAAGTTGGAAAGCTGATTCAATACTTTGTGGAAAGCCTCTCTTGGTGTTAACAATAGATTTCTTCTCTTTTTGATCTACTATCCTTTAAGCATCTATGGGCAGCGACCCTTGCTCTGATCTGCTTAACAATTAACAATTCTTACACTTAGACTTTATTGTCATTTTGTACACACAGAGTGTATAACAAATGAAATTTCATTCTTTTTGCCCAGGCCTTCAAGACATTTCCATTTTTAAAGTGCAGCAGTGATAAAATGTAAACATGGGTGATCAAATGTAAACATAACACTGGTATATGATTGAATGTTTCAGCGCTTCTTTTTTTAAACCCCATTTTATACAACAGTCTAATGGCGGTGGGGAAGAAGCTGTTCTGGAATCTGTTGGACCTGCAGCGGATGCTGTGAAGCTTCTTCCCAGAGGGCAGCAGGGAGAACAGTCCATGGTGGGGGTTTGAGGAGTCATTTATGATGTTACGGGCTCAGGACACGCAGCGCTGGGATGAGATGTCTTTTATGGAGGGAAGAGGAGTCCCGATGATCTTCTCTGATGTTCTCACTACTCTCCTCATCTTCTTCCAGTCTGAGGTGCTGCAGCCTCCACACCACACAGTGAGACAGCTGGTCAGAACGCTCTCTATGGTGCTTCTGTAAAGGGTTGTGAGGATGGTTGGGCGCAGGTTGGCTCTCCTCATCCTCCGCAGGAAGTAAAAGCGCTTCTGTGTCCTTTTGACCAGTGAAGTGTTTTTTTACAGTCCAGGTGAGGTTGTCTGTGATGTGCACCCCCAGGAGATGTGCAACATGACAGCAGAATGTTATTTAACTGAATAAGACGCAAACTTTGCAAAAATCAGCACGAATGGGATAACTGATTGAGGTTGTTGGGAACAGTGATGGTTATAAGGTTTTACAGCTGCTGGGGGTGGGGGGGATCTGTGATAACGCTCCACGTTCTCCTTTCCTCCTTCTCTCCCTTCTTTCTTTCTATCTCCCTTTCCTTCATGTCCCTCTTCCCTTTTTTATACTCCTTTCTTCCTTTTAACCCCTTTATCGCTCCTCTCAATTACTTCTCTCCTTCCACTCTCTTTGCTAAAAAGAGTAGGAAAAGACTGCCAACAAGCGAGAGACTAATAATTGCCATTTCAAACCTTTCAATTCAAAGACACAAATCAAAGAGAGTATCTAAGGAACTGCGAGCTTCACTTTGTTTTCCTCAGTTTCCTATCCAGGGTTCATGAAGTCAACCATGATGTCCAACTTTTTTCAAATCTATCTCGTTCCAATTTCAGTGCGATTGTCAATTCTTCCATCCGGAGAATGTCTTGAAAAATAGTAATCAAGTCTTCCAGCAAAGGTTGTATATCCAATTTCGAGTGATTGCTTTTTTTACCGGCAGTTTTGCAAAGTCTTTTGAAAAGTAGCAAGATCTATTCTTCAAAATCATGTGCTACTTCATGACCTAGTCCATATTAAGATCTCTGTTTATACAATAAAAAATGGAAAACAAAATGTCTGTGTAATAGTAACCAAATGCACTGTACATTTTATTGGTCAACTATAATCAAACACAGTATTTTTCTAAAAGAAAAAAAAAAGTTTAGTAAAGCACAATACAGTTGCATTTAGCAAGTTACTAATGAAAATAATCTGAGTTGGTTTCCCCTTTTCTATGAAAGGCAATACTATGAAGATGGCTAATACAGTAATTCAAAGACTTAATCAAGTAAAGAACAATTTTAAACGTTATTACTGAGTGCAATTCTCATTTAAAGTCTAACTTTAACACCTTAGCTGTATAATTCTATAAGGGATTATAAGGGACAGAGAATTATCACCCAACATGTTACAGTATGATCTGTAAAGCCTCTAGCTTGTTTGGAGAAACCAAAAGATAATTTTGCATTGATAATATAAATACTTGAAAAATCTCCTCTTTCATTTATATCAATCCAGATTTATTCATCTTCTTGTATCCTGTTATTTCATCATAACAAAGACGATTTTCATCTTTAAAAATGTATAAATCTACCCCCAACAATGTCTCTTCAATTCAAATTTTTGTATTATTTTAACAAGTATGGCCCGCTTGTAACAGCTCTAAAGTCAAATTTAAGACACTGAGATTTTAAAAGGTTGGTAGAGTTAAAAATAAAATGCTAATGTGGAGCAACTCTCTCTTAAGTGCAAATAAGCTTTGTGGACTTAGATTGCTACACTGCTCTTCAGCTATCATTGATCTAAAATTAAGAAGACATTTGAATTTTGTAGACAATAAATTTCATATTCATATTAGAAATGAAATCATAAACAAAGACCCTGCACAAGAAATTGACATCTAAAAGGACAAGTTAAAAGATGGCAGCTATAACTACACAGACATCGACATGTAAAGTATATAAGGTCTTCATGCTGCATCTTTGCATGAAACTGAACTAGTTCACATGAAGTGCTTTGCATTTGTCAGAACAGAATGCAATGACAGCTTCATTACTTTAGGTGGCAGCAGCTTCACTGCACTTTATAACCTTTTTGCACTGACATTATTTACCAAAATTGCACCAAAAAAAATCTTTGACCATTAGTTTTTTTCCCCCACTTTCTCTAAAAACATTAACCAACAGCATTACCTGTATGAGGTGAAGTTGTCATAAGATCCCACAGTGTAGTGTCTAAACAGTCTCTTATTGCGGTCCTCCCGGGTCTCTGTGAAAAAGAAAGCAGTTGTTATTCATGAAAACTGTCAGGTTATTAGAAAAATTATGAACAGATATAGATTTTTTTTCTTAATAAATTGTCACTTTCTTTGATAATTGTAAGACAATGTAAAGTCATATCCTTTTTGTTTTTGGTTATTACACTTTATGAGCTTAGCTTTAAATGGTACATTTAAATATAAGATCAATACTCAACAACAGAAAAGCACAACTAATTGTGTTTTACACAAAATCTGATAAGATTTTCTGATTTTATACCAGTGGTGTAGTAAGTAACAACAAACTTTGCCGACACAATTGTTGTTATAATATTCTCTTGGCACTCATTTAACCATATAAATGTTGCAAAAAAGAGCACATTAGTTAGAAAAATGTTTAAATTCACAGAGCATCCAGTTGTTTGCTTGTTAGTATTTCAGCCATAATGTATTAAGTGAACACAGAGAGAAATTGGTTACCACAGAGAAGCAATTATCATTAACATTTTTCATCAATCATATCTTAACAGGGTAAAACTCTTCCAAGATAATTTTTTTTGCTTTATTTATTTATTCTAACTGTAACATAATTGTATCTTTAACAAAATCTATGTCGTTAAAGAAAGGGAAAAGTACAAGATTTAGAGCTCAGTTTAGGTAAAGTACGCTTTTCAGCTGAAATGGGACGGCTTTGAGAGCTGAGTCATCCAGGTAGGGATGTGAAAGTAACAACCTATTACAGTTAATCTGCAATAAAAAAAATATATAAAAATAAAAATTTATATCATACACATCATCTTATTTGTTTCCTGTATTTCTCTAAACCCACTATAAAACACTCCACATTAAAGATCAGTGAAAAGGAAAGTTATATTCATGTGAAAAATCCAAAATTCTTTATATAATTTAGAAGGAAATCAAAAAGATAAATACTGTACATACCCATATATATATATATATATATATATATATATATATATATATATATATATATATATATATATATATATATATATATATTCTTATTTTGGGTAATACTTTTACATTCTAATTCTTCACAAGAGTAATTGAAAGTGACTTTTATTTTTAAAACTGACCATAACCCTTAGTTTAAACATCTTATTTTTCTTCATATTTTCCTTTAGTATTACCATATTTACATGGTTGATCAGAGTTTTAGAAAGTTCTAAATTATTATGTGTAATAACATTGGTTTTATTTTAATAACTTATTTTACTTTACATTTAGTGAAGGTAGGAGATACGTTGTTAATATACAAAGACATTGCTATCCGTAAAATGCTTTTTTGTTTATATTTGTCTGACGAAACTGTGTTTTCTCTACTATGACAGCAGTTGCACTCCTCCTACTGTTAGAATTCTATTCCAGATGTTTATAAGTGCTTTATTCTTTTCAGTTTAGAACTACCTGGTATGATTGCTGCTGGCATCCCTTTATCTTTCATCTAATCTCTTGTAAAACATTTTGTACAAAATTCAACTTCATGGAAAGTGCACTTAAAGTGACATCTGACTCATCAATTGGTAGAAAGAAGGAACTGGGTTGTCATAGTGACATGACCTGATAAACAGCACATATCGCACCATCCCCACTACTAACCACAGTAATAGAAGTTAACATTAGCATTAACAACTTTATGTATGTATTATTTATGCTTCCAGGTGCTAATAGTGGATAAAAACATGAACATATAAAAACATGTATATCATGGTAAAGGCAACACCTCAGCTTATATTCACTGATTTACAGACACCTTGGTTCGTTAACTGATACTGCATAGAAAAAAAGAGTAAGATAGGAATTAACTAAATAAACACATTTTTTGGTGGGTCTTATAACAAATACCCAAAGGCTTAAACTTAAATACGTTGTGTTGTGCCAACAGTATTTACCAGGTTTATACAGAAATGACCATGAGTAGTCTAGAAGAAATTAAGAGTAAGACTACAATATGTGAGAGCTTGATATCCTTAAAAGTTCTAGAAAAATAGGTAGGAACATCATAATCTGGTATCTAGAAAACCTGAATTAGGATTAAATCAAACTCATTAATTTGCATTAAAAAAATAATTTACAAAAGAGAGAATTTATAAAATACATGTAATTGTAAAATGAATGTAAAAGTGATCCAGAGATATGCTGAACCCTCTTGAAATAAACTAAATAACAGGCACACCAACTGCAACGGAAAGAAATATTTAACTTTATCCAACCAAAGTTCTATTATTATCTGAAATAGAGAGATGCTCACTGATCTGTCCGGTTGGGAGAACCACTACATAGCTAAATATGATCACAAAATGGTTCTTAGAAGTCTATTTATAAATTTAGTAGAAAATCAAAATCTATTTGATATGGAAAGATTAACTTGTCTCAATTATTTCTGTTTGATTGAAATTAATGCAATTAATTGAACACAAAGCATCTGCTCAATTAAACAATGATTTTAACTTTTGCTGACAACAAATTTTTTTGGGAGATAGTGGATTTAGACTTAAAAAACATAGACAGGAACAGAAAAGTAAGTAGTATAAATTAACAATCTGATTTAAGAGAGGAAGATGCTACATTTATTAGTGCAGCCAGGGGGAAGGTGTAAAGAAGGAGGCATTAACAGATCAGAGGTTCCTTATTCCTGACGTTCCCCACAGCTGATTATCAAACTGTGCATGTAATCAAATAAAGGCTTCTTTATCTCAATGAGGGGTCAAGAAAAAGGAAATGAGGCAAATGAGTGCTCATACATTTTGAGATACTATTGTGTGTGTGTGACATGCATTTCTGCGTGTATATGAAAACTGTTGGATCAGATGCAGTGTAAAAGTGTGAAATGTGTCTCATTTATCAGAACTGTCATGTATTCAGTACAGCCCAGGAGCATCTAAAAGCAGGGCACCGATAGCAGCCATAACCTCAACAACACTATCATCCATCACACCCATACCCAAAATATTGGGAATCATAGGCATCACAAAGGATGTTCACAGTATTTCAAATACAATTAAAGGTGCTGCTATATGGACATGAAAATGCATGGATTTTCCTCAACTTTATGAACACCCGGAAAGTTTTAAATAAGAATGATGACAGAGAACATTGAAAGATGTTGTAAAGTAATGAAGTAGTGATTCAATGGTTCATATGAACCCTTTTAGTGGCAGGTACTGCAGATAAACCTCGGCTACAGCTCAAATTGTTGTAAAGGATTTTTCCCAATCCCAATCAGAAATCAAAACTCGACCGTACTATTATTTAAAGCACTTATATTCCATTGATTTCTTGTTTTAGCAAAATTGAACAACCAGATATTTCCAAAAGTTTAGCTTTCAGACAGAATTACTCCAATTCTAATTCTAATTACTTACAGAAAACGTGATGGATAACTTAATCATTATACAATGACAATGGATTCTAACATTCTTATCTTTTAATTAAGAGAAATGTGACAAAAAAATTAAGATTGTTATTATTTAACACCAACACACGTTTCAATGGATTTTCTCGCTTTCCTGCTGATGCCTTTCCTTCCTGCAAATGAGTAAAACAAAAGTTAACGCTTAAACTAAAGTTTAACAATTTGCATACCTTTATCTGGTTGTTTCTTATCCACTCAATTTGGTATCAAAGGCAGGTTACATCTTACGAGAACTACATGAGGGAAAATTGCCCCTGAACGCACTTCAATAAAAAAAAAGAAAAAAAAAAAGAGGTCAACTGAGAAGAAATTTTCCATTCATGTGAAAAGAGAAAAATGTGAAAGGCTTAGAAATATTTCAGCTGGGCAAAGTAAAACATTTATCTTAGCATTAGGTAAATATCTTCAGAAAACAGCATAAGTTCATTTCTTGAACCAGCTACGATAAAGTACGGTATTTTAAAAATTTCTGCTGGCAGTATGTCTTTTAAAGAAACTCACATCACTTAAATTGTATGTGATTAAATGGAGCTTTAGTGAAGGTTAGAGATGAAATGTACAGTAAGAATATTAATAAAGTGCACCAATTTTACACATATAAGGATTTAGGTATTATCTAGCAATCTGTTTTAGTTATTTATTTTTCATTAACATCCTATGGAAATGGAGATTTATCCAAATAGCAGGACATTGAACGACTCAGACATCTGCATGACTCTATATACATTTGCTGTAAAGTCCTCTGAAGGGAAATCTTCTATAATCTAATGGTCCTCTATGTTTTGGTTTAGTGAATTTGAGGTCTATATAACAAAAGACAATGCCTTGTGAAAAAAGGCCAAACAAAAATTGGGATTTCAAATAGAGATTGAAATCCCTTCCATCACATTAAAGCTGTATCTGATGGCACAACCTCATTCTTTCCTTCAGTACAATGCTTCTCCATTCAGGACAGATGTTAACTCTCCTGCTGCCCTTGTCTGAAGGACATTAGAGCTAAATCTCTCTTTCTCCTCTTAACCCCCCCAACACACACGCACACACAGACACCAACATCTCCTGCCTTGCACTCTTGCTGCCTCTTTGTGCATGCTGTGTGTGTGTTGACACATTTAGTCATTGTGTCTTATCGTGAAAAGACCAGGGCCAAACAAGGAAAACTTTACTGTAGCATATCAGATTATAATCAAAGTTAAATATATAAATGAAATATAATTAATACATTAATATAAAAATGTTTTATCCATCTCCACTGAATCTACCAGTGTAAACAAATGATATTTAGTATATTTTAGTTATCTCATCTGAATGTGTCTGCAGTTCACAATTTTTGTAAACAGTGATTGTAATAGATTCTAATCACAAATCCTGGCTTTTATTGACCTGTAGCCTCACAGAGGGTAATTAACCCCAAGGCTGAACACCATTTCCCCAAGTAAATATAATATACTTACTATATTTACTTTTCAACTAGTTAATAGCTAACTAACTTTATGTCCTAACTTTATGTTCTCTCTGCTTTTCTTCATAGCACTTCCATGTGTCCTGGTGCTCTGTGTGGCTGGCTCTGTCCTA